CCCCCCCCATCAAATTCATCGGCCGGACAGGTTGAGCGCATCGTCCGCCTTTGGGGGTCGAACGGGGTCTTCACGCCCGCAGAGTGCGACAGCTTGCTGGCGGCCGGCGCCGGAGTGACCGCCAAGCACGCCTCTGCAAAGGCGATGGCCAAGAAGGCCGCCAACGGGTTGAGAGAGCGCGCCGGCCGGGGGGGCTGGGACAGAGAAGGTGTGGGCTGGGGGGGGGGGGTTAGCAAGGTATGGGTTAGAGTGCGATGTGTGTGTTCGTGTGTGTTTTTTTGTTTGGCTTCGACCGCTGAATGAAAATACGCCAGTCTCAGTGCCGCGGTGTACAGGACATGCTTGAAAAACTCGTCATCTGGGACTCCCATGTGTGTGTGTGTGTGTGTGTGTGTGCGTGCTGAAATCAGCATCGACCGCGCTAACCGGCAGACCAATCAAATTTCGTCACTCTCAGTGCAGCTGAAAACAGAACGTGCTTCTAAAGGCCATGGCCTGGGACCCCGTGGGTGTGTGTTTCGGATAGCATCGACCGCGCTATCCGGCTGGCCAATTGTGATCGTCCCAAGTGCAACGTTGCTATTTTGAGCATGTCTTCCCTCACGTTTTTGCTTGTGTTCTTTCACAGCTGGCGCGCTGCAAACTTTCCCCCACGTGTTTGCCGGTGTAGGCAAAGGCCGCGAATGGTGTTAAGCTCGTCCTCCCCGCTCCCCTCTGTTGTTCACCAATGCCACAAATGGCCCAGGGAGCGGATCGGGAACTCTAGGAGTAGCGGGCCCCACCGGGGAAGGTGATACCGGGATGGGTACCGGGACGTTAGCTCAGCCAATGGGCGACCCCGAGTCCGAAGAGAGGCGTAAGAGACAGGAGGAGAGGGCGGAGCAGAGGAAGGCTGAGGAGGTGGGTACTGCTTCACTCGTCGTCGTCGTCGGTGTTGTGGTTGAATTGTGGGCGCCGAAGCGTTGTACAGCGGACGAAGCGTGTCGTGCAGAACTGAATCGAAAGGCGTGGCTCGTACAGCAGCGATGCCTAGCCCAGCTTGCAAAAGAGGAGGTATGTTGGCAAAGCTGTCTCATGTTTCTATTCAAGCAGAGCGACGAAATTTCACAGCCGACACAGCAACAACAACTTCAGCAATATCATCAACAACAGCAACAACAACAGCAACTCTTCCACTCTTCACCGATTCACTTGCTTCGCACCGCACCGCAGAAAGCCGCCGAGGACGCTATGGAGAGAGCACTTGCCAGGGTCAAGGCTCTCGCAGAAGGACCCGCCGCCGCCGCCGTCGGAGAAGCCAAGGCGGGAGTGGGCCTCCCCCTGGCCGTCGTGGTCCAAGCCGTGCCCACGCTGGCACCGGCACCCGAAACGATGCCCGCGTGCCACGTTCAGTACCCCTGGCGGGGGGCGCTGTACCCGGTGATGTGAGTTTGTGTATATTGATTTTCGCAGTTTTTGGTTTTGGTTTTTGGTTTTGGTGTTGCTGATTGTGTGTTGCTGTTGGTTTCTCTATATGATAGCTTTTGTGTTGTTGTTTTGTTCCTTTTTGTTTTTTATAGAGAAATTTCTTGGGTCAGTTGTTTCCGCATTTGTGGCGGTGTGTTACTATTGGTTCCTATTTCGGCAGTTTCGTGTTTTCACGTACTCCGTATGCGGTTTTTACCGCTTTTTGCAAGTCGTTGGTATGAGACGGACAGTCGAGAAAACGAAATATAATAACAAACACTCCAGTGTGTGTTCCTCCCTTCAATGTGGCCCCGCCTGGTGCGTCCGAAGCACCAACTGGTATTGCGAAAGTGTGGTACAAATTGGAAATCACTCGCAACACAGCCGTGAAAGTGCAGTTGAAGGATCATGGCATGGAGATGGCCCTCACTTCTTGGTTGTCCCATGTCCTTCTTGGGTCACCGCGCTATCGCCTTTCGTCAACAGAGGCAAGACACAGCAAGGTGTACACAAATCAAACTTGCAGGTGAAAGCAATACGAAATGTAACGGAACGATATCACTCAAGGCACACGCTTGTTGTTTGGAGCAGCTCGTCCCATAACCTTGTCCGACTATCCTGTTTTTTGCCACCGGCGCCTTTCGGCGCGACGCAGGGGCAAGGCGCAGAGCGTTCAGAGCGACAACGCCAGCAAGTTCCCGGTGGCGGCAGGGTTGGCCAGCACGGCACACGGGACGGATAACATGCTCGAGAAGCTGCCTGTGGGCACGATGGCCGGGATCCTCAGGGTGTGCAGGCTCTGCCTCAGTAACGCGGGGGGTGGGGGGGTGGGAGCAGCTTGGCTATGTACTACTCCCCTATCGTGTCAGCATCCACTGCTACTTGGTTTGAAAACAGCGAAAAAGAAACAAGAAACATGAAGTGATTGTTGCCCGTTGCCCGTTGCCCGGAAACACGATCACTTCCTGGGTAATTTTCCGTGTTTTGTGTGTGTACAGAGGGGTGTTGTCGGCCAGGGAGATGGGCGAGGGGGAGAGCGAGCCATGACTGGCAGCAGACCGATGGACAATCTCAAATGTATATGCTGGAGACGTGCGAACGACGCCAAGAGTCGACGTGGTGTACAACCGGGAGTGAAATAGTGACAGAGAGGCAGAGAGAGACAATAGTCAACAGAGACCGAGAGGGCAGAGGGCGGGCATGCGGGAGGGAGAGAAGCAAGTTGGGTCCTCCCTTGCTGAGGGGGTACCCTTACGTGTTGCGCCTGCGTTCACGTGTGGATCTGTAATGTCACGAGGCGAAACCAGACAAGCCACAGACTTCAGTACACCACTGCCCCCTGCACTGTCTGGTGATTCCACTTTTCCATCCATCTGTCTGATCCTTTCGTTTATTGTACAATTGTTGCTGACATGACTTGTGCGTAGGTTTCTCTTCGGAATGGGTTCCGCAGATACAAGCCGGTGGATATCAAACTGCTGCCCAAGTACGTGACTCCTCACATCGAGCCCGGGAGACTAGACGTGAGTATTGCGATCCTTCCCTGGCCCTTCTGGCCGGCACAGAGCCCATGCAGCATTGGAAACGTTTGCGGGTTGCCACCGTCGTGCGAGGTAGCGGTTTGGTCTACCGTTGTCACCAACGTGGTTGTCGCCGACGTCTTCGTTGTTCGAATGTATCGGCGTGAGTGTGAAAGTCACGCTTACCGCCGCTGCTAGGGTTTCGGGTTGACGGTTTCCATCATCACTCTCACTACCACTTTTGTTGCTGAGTGGTTCGAAATCGTTTTGTCAAGTATTGCTTTTCTTGTCGGGTCGGTTTGTCTCTTGATTGCTATCCCTTGATTGGTGGCGTGTCTCGCGTGAGCAGATACCAGGTTTTTGTTGTTGCGTTTTTATATTTCGTTTCTATGTTGGCTTGTCCCTTAATTCAACCCTTGTCGCGTCGCTTCTTGTCTTTTGTTTTGCACCCGGCCTAACATTAGGTCCGCGTGGATGAGTTCTATAGCCGGGCCACTCTCGAGCAAGTGCACGAAGAGCGGAAGAAGGAGAAGGAGCAGAGAAAACTGGAAGAAGAGAGGAAACTCGCGGGGAAAGAAGGCGGTGGGGGCGGCGGCGGGCAAAACGACAGGGGCCGCAGGTACGGTACGGCGGAAGTAGTCAGTTGGCATCCCGTCGCCGCGGTCTAAAACGGATTGTTTCTTTAGAGTGGTTCTGGTTTTGACCGAACCGCTGACTCCCTCGCAAACGTTTGCGGTTCTCCAGGAAGATTCCTTCACCTATGCAAGTATGGTTCTCTCGGTGCATCAAACCCCAAGAATGATAATACAATGCAACGACTCATCGCTTTGTTCCCTTCACCAACCTCGAACAAACAACTGTAACACCTCGATATTTCCATCCCCAGCGCGTGTTGGGGACGTGGAGTGCTCTGTGGTGGTTGTGGTTGTAGCGTCCGCGTCAGTTGAAAGTAGCGAGTACTCTCAGACGGTCTCCCGTGTGCCGCCAGACCACACAGTTTCCTCGCGGTCAGCTCGTGCAAGAGTCTGGGCACAACGAGCACCTTTTCTTACGGTAGATAATTGACATACAAACACTAAAAGGACTTGCACGGCCCGTTGTTATATACTTGGGAAGTTTTTTTTTCACGGTGAAACGGCTATTGCCTGTGGCTTCGTTTTGTGCAGGAATCGGGACGACGGGTTTGGGGTCGGAGGCAGCCAGCAAGGCCTTCGGGCAAAGCAGGCGCAGCTTGAGCTTGAGAGCGACATGCAGGGCAGGGAAAAGGTTCTGGGCGAGGAGAACATCGGCCACAACCTCCTCAAGAAGATGGGTGCGTTGGTCGTTTTTTTTTTTTTTTT